TAAAAGTTTCATAGTCGCTATACATAGCAAACTCATAGCCATAGTCAAGTCACCATAGTCAAGCATTTTCTCAGTTGTATACGTAGGATCGACAACTAGAGGAAGGTGTCTATCTTAGATTGCATGTGATGTGAGGTAGACCAGCATATCCTCCAATCCTTGTATGTCTGTCCCACACACTACCACACCAAACATTCTACACAAAAGTTCTGGGTTCATTGTCATTTACGTTACTATGATTTTTCTACTGTAGAGGAGATGACGACGTAGCTATCACTCACGTAAAATACTTCTGAAAAGGACGTAACAGAGATTAGACAAACGTGTCAAATCTGACGTGTTGTCGAGATAAAAAAAGCAACGTCCTAAACGAAACACAAACAAAAAAAAAGATGTCTTGACAGCTGACATGTGATGCGCCCGCCTCAAACCCCCTAACACCGATGATGTCTGAAGTGTACTGTAAGGGAGTAGACGAGAGGAATATTTGGTAGGTGGGTACCCCTGTGACTTAGTAAAAGTAGAACAGACGGTATCCCAACACTACTTTATCCCTAACTCACTACGGAAACTCAGGCTCCGTTCACCTTCATTGACTGTGTATAATGAAGTATTTCATTGGTGAAACACTTACTTACTCGAGACCCTACAACTGTAGTTCTTCATTACATACGTATTCGAAGTGCAATTCGTACGAGTGAAAATTACGTGGGTAGTAGAGGCGGTGGTTCCCCCTCGTATGTAGGGGAGAAAGTACAACTGTAATCTCAATTACAGTCTACAACGTACCGTGGCGAGAATGCCGACGGTTGTCCATACTGACGGTCCTAAAATAAGACATCTGGGGCGGAGTAAAATGAGGAGTGCAGCTACGAGTGGTTCGTGGTATAACTTAGGTCAAATTTACCTCTATCACATGTTTTTTATTGGTCTCACAACGACGTCAAACAGAGACAGAAGTACCACAGTGAATAAGAGAACGAGCCGATCGGAATCAGTTACGCTCCTGTCGCGGGGCCGGGCCGAAACTACTCACCTGTCCGTCGTCGGTTATTTTGTAGCTCTCAGTAGATTAAGTCTGGTGTAATTATTTTTTACAGGGTGGGTTTAGCTCTATTACCAATCTCGTGGAAATGAATTACATCACGACTTCGCATGCCCTAAATAATAGCAAAATGTCCGACTCTCGTCTTTGAGCATAAATTCCGTAGTGTAAGTACGAAAACGTTACTGTAGTCGTTAATACTTTGCCTTTATGTGGACCGTCCGGACAAACTCTTACCCGTTCGTACATAGTGCAACAAATCAACGGAGGGTACGACATTACAAAGGACAAGCCGACTTTTCGTTTCTCGCTTTATATATTTTTAGAAATAAATACTCACAATACTATTCAGCTATCGTCCCTCGTCGGTCGGTGTACGTCATAGGGAGAGCAGGAAACTCAGAGGAGGTAAGTTCGCTCCCGGTTCAGGTTGTTCGATACCGTCAGAGTATTTTCTCCGGTCACGAGGAGAATAATTGAAATCTGCGATTGGGAATGTGTGAACTCCCTTAAACAGAACCGAATGTCATTAGGTTTATGTGAGGGAATGAGCACAATTACTCCCATGAAGCGCTTTACGATATAGTTAACATGTCAAATGAATATTAAATTCAATTGTGGGACTTCTTGGACCTGTTAGTAGGCTACTGAACAAACAATGAAAAATACATAAAAATATGAAGAAAACCGATTATGGAATATCTTTTATAATCACGTGAATAGCACATCTTGTCAATGCAAACAGACCGTTATAGCACCGTTATAATTAATGTTAAACCTGAGATTCGACTAGAGAACAAATAAATAACAGAATAATGGTCATGAGATCTCGGCATTGCACAAACAAACAAATCTCATCTTTAAAATCAACATTTGCCTTCACTGGTGAGAGAAAACAAATCCCATCACAGTTCATTTGTGGGACTTACCTTTCTAGTATTGAACAAACAATGAAAAATACATAAAATATGAAGAAAAAACGATTATGCAATCTAATTTATAACACCATCACGGGCCACGGACTCACTTTTAAAATAAAATATATATATATTTTTTTAAAGTATCGAAACCGGATCTGATTTCGGTACGGTATACCGTAGCCACCAGTAACCGGTATTTCAGTAATACCGGATACCGGTATGCATCCCTAATGTTGACGTACCTTAACTTAGAGGTTCAATTAGATCAAGGCAACAAAGTTATGTTAAAACGTTTTTTCCTTTCCTGTAGTGTGTTATATAGGTTTGTGTGCATGTAAATGGTCTGCAAAGCTATAGTGAAATCACCATGTCACACTTGTGCTTCTGTTGGCTAGCCATCCAACACATTGTACGTCATAAACTAAGCCGGCCTCTTCAATTGGAGTTATGTGTTTGTTGGGTAAAATAAATTATGTTTGTTAAGGAACTAAACAGCTTACATGCCGCAACATTAGCTCCCTATAACTGTCAACAAATTTGTTTGCGATTTAGCGTTGGAGAGGGAAAATGAATAAATATCCTCTACACAGCCAACGGTGGATTCGTTTTATCATCCGTGCTATTCTGTTCTTCTTGTCAAAGGCATCTGGGAACAAGTTGCGACGCTGAGTCTGTCTTAAGTCATTATGTTTTGAATCAGAGGAAGCATACTGTACAGTACAGCTTCAGTGGTGTTGTACTGACATGTGGCAGAGGAGGAAACAATTAGTGTCAATTCAAACAAATACAATCAATGTCGTCAATCACGATTAAGGCGGTGGAAGCGTCAGCTAATAAAAAACAAAAGGAGGGTTTTCTGGCCTCTTCTTTTGTGCAAGGGTTACTTGGCACCATGCAGCTTCAAAGAGCCACACAGCCTAGCATCCACAAATAGAACATTTGAAGGGGAATTTTAAATGGAAGTGAATGAATATTTCACCCCAAATTGATTCATGCTGCCACTTTAGACATTTTCATTCGCGAGCGAGTCACTAATGCACAGCCATGCGGTGACATTACTATGGTGTCGACCCCGCACATGCTTTCATTTCCCACCGTACATTAGGAGTAATGGGCCTCCCATGTGGAGCCTTGCTGTCATCGACACTTATTTCTTCACTCCGGCTGTTCGCTTAGTTCTTTCCTCCACAGTAGCAGAGGTAACAGGGCTTGATTGGATAGAGGCTGGCGACGGACAGAAGGTATAGCTTTTGATTTGTGCTATTCGCTGACTGCGTCCTGGAGAAATAAGATGGAATACTCCTTGATATTTCAGTGCGCAAGGTAATTCCTCAGGTGACATTTTATGCAACAACTCAGCAGCGTTGGTTCTGCAACTGATGAAATGTTTTGAAATTCGACATATTCTGTTACTAACCAAGATCAGTGCAAATAAACACTCCCAGCTACTGAGGATGAGACGCAGGAAGATGGCAATGAAAGCCTCCAGGTTCTGTTTGACATGATTCATGCGATATTGCATTTTCAGCCCTGTTTAATACGGTCTCCTCTACATGCCGTACTGGTCTCTACTCCGTGTTGCACAGGTGAAGGACAGGGGAAATCTATTTTCATTAAAGTTGCATGACAGACCTTGAAGACAACCGGCGTGAATACAATCGATGCTGCTGCTCCTTCATGCTCAGGCACTTTGTCAGCGTGGTGACACAGGAAGAGCTTTCAGATGACCCTTGAATCACGACTTAATGACGCTCTGGCTTCAGCCTTTAGTAATAAACCACAGCTCTATTTTAGACACCTTGATGGGAAGCATGTTAGGGGTTGAATACAGGCTTCATGATCTGTTTTTGAGATGGTTTTTAATCCTGAAGGCTTTATCACTTTTGTAAGGTCACCTACCTACATCAGCGCAGTTTCTGCTTCTGGCAAAATCAGAAGGGAGAACGGGCTTGGGAATACAGCAGAGACTTCTGTACAGACAGAATGCAATTAAATATTAAATCTTAAAAGGTCTGCGTCAAAACAAAGTCATTTTCTATTTCCAAAGAACACAAATTAATCATATGTGCCCTGCAGGCTTGATTACTCAGAGTACAATGTATATTGCAACACAATACAATACTGTACACTTGCAAATAAAAACAAATGATTTAACAGTTTAATTACCATTTCAAGTGTACAACAAATAACATTTCTGGACGTCTGCCAGTATCTTTATTGCATCAGTAAAACAGGGCATTAAAACTGCAGCGAAGGTTCTTTTTGTTAACTTAGTTATTATGATGGACTCCTTAGCAAGCAGTTGCTTTTTTACACATCCAGCAGTAACAGTATATAGCTGAACTATTATTTATTTTTGAGTCATGTTTCTGTCCAACTGATAAATTAAGTCTAGTATTATCTCACTTTTGCCTCTTTCTTTTTTTGGTCTGCAATAACTCCTGAGGATAATATCTGTCTCTTTAGCTGCTTAATGCTCCGCTGTGTTCAGCAGCTAGTTGATTACTGTGTCCGTCTGCTGTCTCGGGCTCACCATGTAGTGTTTAGGCTTTTTCTCTGAAAAAAGCTGCCTGCTGCAGTGCACATTGGCACTATGAGAGCAGTGAGAATGAACCAAAAGAGCTGAACAGCTTCATAATAAGCTGAGATTAGCAATGAAGCCTGTAAAGCCAATAGTATCTGCTTCTCATACACTGTTATTATAGAAACATATCGATTAAAGCCACTTGCAACGGCATATTCATGTTTCACAGTCTATCCCAGAATCCTCTTACCTATAACCAATCCAATCCATTTTATTTCTATAGCACATTTAAAAACAACAGAGTTGAACTAAGTGCTGTACATCTGTATACAGTAAAACATAGCATAAATACATAAAGAACAGACAGGACATGAAACAAATGTAAAACACGAGACAATGAAACCAGATCAGAAGCCGCAGACTGAGATACTCTCCTACATGACGTAGAACACTATAAGATAAAAACCCAAATTTAAAAGCACAAGTGTCACCTGGTCTGTAAATGCCAGGGAAAAGAAGTGGGTTTTTAAACGAGATGTAGTCCTATTTATAGATTTGAATTGCTCTTCTGTGAGTTGCAGTTTGCAGTGAAGGTATCGGGGTAAAGATGTCCGCTTTTTGTCCAATATGAGATGCAAAAAGGATTGTGAGGCTGAATATATACACACTCTACAAATGTTCTTCCGGAACATAATGACAACACTATGTTACACTCGTGCTTCTATTGGCTAGCGCTCCAAGACATACGTGATAGGCTAAGGGGCGGGACATCTCTAAGCAGGTGACCAATCACAACAGAGCCGGCTAGCTAACCAATCAGAGCAGACTGAGCTCTGGTTTCAAACAGAGGGTGAAAAAGAATGAGAATGAGAAAAATCAAGAGCTTGTTGAACTTTAAAGCATGTAAACATGTCACAGTAGAGGCACAAAATATGAACCTGAACAATTCTGAGATATGTGTTTTTTGACAGAAGTTTTCCCACACCTCTGGAAGCCTGGAA